ACTTGTAATAAATTTCCCTAAGGTTCATCATAAGTGGGAAATGAGTCAAAGACACAAAACAACACATCCTAACATCTCTGGCTGGTCAAAGTTGAAAACAAAATGTTGCAAAACAGCATGTGCAGTTGGTGCATAAGAGTCAGCTTGGTTCCTCACTCAACCATGGAAATCCACTAAAAGACTTTGGGCAAGTGATACTCTTTCGGTCTCAGAGAAAGGTAGTGGCAACCCCCCTCTGAACACATTTTGCCAAGAAAACCCTTGTAATAGACATTGAATTTTGCCTCTGCTGTAAGCCGCCTTGAAGTCCCCTTCGGGGTAGAGAAGGGCGGGATATAAATATAGTAAACTAACTAAATAATAGGTTTGTCGTCTTGTTACAGAACTGCAATTTTGCACAACCAAATATGCAATGAATGACCATGCAATCAATGCATGATGACACACAATGTGCAACAATGTATAGTGAACTACATGTACAATTTTACTTTTGTAAGCTTAAGCTGAATACTGACAGCCAAAAAGTACAACTGCATATGGAAGGAAGTTTTTGCTGAATTGATATTTCTGGAAGTTGCAAACAAAGAAGTGAAATTGTTCAAGCTCTGCACAGAAGCAGCTGCTCCTGTCTTTGGGGTTCCCCTTATCACACATAACATCGATCACAAAGCTTCCATGCATCAGGCAGTCAAGTGGGCAATCTTATGCTTTCCTCAAGCACAACCTCATTTGCACAACCTCAGTCTGAGGTTCCAGATAGAACTGGAAAGTGCTTGTTGTTTTGCAAGTAAATGTGTTTGCCCAACAGATTTCTGTTGGTCACTCTAAAAAAAAAACCCTGACCATACTGACAGGAATTCGTAGTACAACAATGGAGGATCATGGTTCAAAAAGAGGCTGTCTGCTTGGTGATGACATGCCTCTTGAATGACCCATGGACCATGTCAAGCATGACCCCCCCCCCCACACACACACACACATATCAAATTATATTCTAAATTCCCTTCTGGAGCTGATACAGAGAGAGCTGTAGCGGGCAGGAGCCCAGAGCCCCGCATAGATTGACCATGCGAATGATCAGGGATACAGAGAAGCATAGCAGCAACTACCGGTGATACATCTTGCAACAATCGTTCCCCCTTTTAATTAGTTTTATCACAAATTAATCCCTCAATAAATGTACACCATGGTACGTTACCCTCTACATCTAATTCTTTGTATCTTCTGTGCTTCTTGAGCTTCTCCCACTTTTGCCTCTTGCAGCCAGCTCCATGACCCTCGGAGCGAGGCTCTTCTTCCCTTTCCCTTACATTTACCCAACCTCCATCCCAATAAACTCCATGCTACCCTTGTCCCGTGGATACCCAGGCCTCCATATGCTGGGTCCCCCTCGGTATCCATGAATCCCCAGTGTATGTACACCATTGCCCTGTGGATACCCTGGCCTCCATATGCTGGGTCCCCCTCGGTATCCATGGGCTCCTCTTCTGTATATAATGTACTATTTTATGTTCCATATAAAATGTTTGAGGATTATGTCACTGATCCAGCTCAAGTAATCTTTCATCTGCAGTCTTTTGACCTCGGAGCCCCCTGTCAACACTTCCTGATCATCATCACAACAATGGATCCAAGTAGAGCTGGGGGGGGGGGGGGGGAGGGGGGGTTCAACCCCCCCCCCCCCGGCCATTTTTCAGGTTAAAAAAACTGGTTTAGTCATGAATTTAATTGGTTAACCAAATCCTCCTGCTAAGTCTATCAGAAGCAAAAATTAAATAAGACCCTCCAGAACTGCAAGCACTATCACTAGCAAATGTTGACAATTTATTCATAGTCATTACTTGCAGCAATAGCTGATATTATTATTAGTATTATTATTATTAACTTTATTTATACCCCGCTAACATCTCCCGAAGGACTCGGTGCAGCTTACAAAGACCAAGTCCCTCAATAAAACAACAGCATAACAAATACAACAATAACACTCATAAAGCAAAACAATAAACATTGAAGCAAAAACAGTAAAACATTAAAAACTAACGCATTTAAAACTAAAGGCCAGGCCAAATGTAATGAATAAAATTTTAAAGTGCTGGACATTACAGGATTTTAGAGGTAGGTGCGATGTGCAGACAATCTTAAATCTCTAATAAAGTGCATTTGGGACATGATGCTAGGAGTTTCCTATTCTGGAAAGGTACACTGGAACAGTCAGGTCTTCAAGCTCTTCCTAGTGGAAGCAACCAAATTGGCCTACCCATAACTGGCAGGCAAAGTCTAAGGCATGGGAGGCATTTGAAGGAGACCAGAAAATTGATTTAAGCCTATGTAAAATATAGAATGAACCATACTATTTAAATTATTTTGTGTTATGGAACTACTCATCATGATTCACTAAAAAAATTATTTTTCAACCACCCCCTCTCCCAAATTTTTTTCTGGCTATGGTCCTGGATCCGAGCACCCATAATCTCTGGGGCCAATCCATCTCAATTGGTGCCCATAAACTCAACTGTGAATAAGACAACAGAACCTGATACTGGGTTCCCTGTCCTTTATGTAGCTTCTTGGACATGATAAAGGAAATTAATCACCTGACTTTTTTCCCCCTGAAGACCTGCCTCACTTTACCTTTTCCCAGAACTGGATTTCCTAATCCAATCACTTCGGACAATCCTCTGTATGGACTACAATGGACATGTGCACCGTGGGTGCCCAACCCGCCTTAACGGGTCACTCACCAACATAAAGGAACATTAAATAGAATGCATGGGACCTGATGCCCCCTCTTTGTTTTGTTCCTCAGCTGGGACAACAATAATCCACTCAGAACACTCTACATTCCTTTGTCTCCTGGACCAATCTGTCCCCATCAGCCATTGGAGGGCAGAAATCTGCATCACAAGCAGGGAAGACTCTCTGATTGGCTGATTGGTTGGTGAGTGCCACAGTCCCGCCTCTCCAAGGGAATCCTTCCCAGCTGGCCATGATGTCAATGGAGCAGGCCCAAGCTGGGGCAGGAGAAGGAAATACAAAGGGTTTGAATGTATAATGTCTGTTTTACCTGTATGAGTTTTCTCAGCTTCCTTTAGCAGCTTGACTTGGGAACATTGGCTTTATCTTCTTCATTTCGCTAGGTGCACGGATCCACAGGCATCCCGCTGCCAGTATTCGTTATTCACTTAATGGATCTTGGCATCCGTGCTTTGGGTCTCACTTTCCGCGGCCCAGACCTCACTATCCATAGTCATTTTAAATTGCTCTATTTAAAAATTACTGTGAGATGGTGTCATCTTGGGTGCATGAGTAATCAAGATGTTGACTTCTACAGAAATGTTGAGATTCTGAATTCATCCCCAAACAGATAACCTCTCATTGAACCATGAACTGCCACTGATTAGAGAGACATCAGGCAGTCTTTGGCAGAAAAGGCTAATTACTTTGTGAAACTACAACTCCCATGATTGTATTGCATTGAACCATGGCAGTTAGAGTGGTGTCAAACTGCATTAATTCTATAGTATAGATGCACCCATTGCATCACATTGGATTCCAAGATTCAATCTAAAAATGGCTGATTTCAATGGTTTGGCAATTGAGTGGCGGGAGAGGGCACAAAATGCCATGTTTCAAGGTTCAGGTCATGACCTATAAAACTCTAAACAGTTCGGGCCCTGCCTATCTCCACGATTGCATCTCCTTCTATGAACCGGCACGAACTCCAAGATCTTCTGGGAAGGCCCTCCTTTCGTTCCCACCACCGTCACAAGTACGGTTGATGGGGACGAGAGAGAGGGCCTTCTTTGTGGTGCCCCCCCCACACTTCTGGAACCCCCTTCCAAAGGAAATAAGACAGGCCCCATCGCTCCCCTCCTTTCATAAGAGCTTGAAGACCTGGTGGTTTCAACAAGCCTTTGAGAACGACCAGTTCTAGCTCAGCCCCAAACATTGTTGAATATGGCCTTATACTTCCTATCTATTAACCCGGCCATCCCTCTAATAGGGCCTGGAAATGAGCAGCCACAGACCCGTACCTGCTATTGTTGTTAGCCTGTTATAACACTGTACTTAATTCCCAGCCCCCTCATATTTTGAGTTTGCACTATGTGTTATTGTGATAATTTTATGCTTAAACTGAACAGACTGCACTCTGGCACCACGAGATGCAGAGCTAATCTTAAGAAATGGGGCTACAAAGTGGAATCCACAACATGCGAGTGTGGAGAAGAGCAAACTACTGACCACCTGCTGCAATGCAACCTGAGTCCTGCTACATGCACAATGGAGGACCTTCTTGTGGCAACACCAGAGGCACTCCAAGTGGCCAGATACTGGTCAAAGGACATTTAATCAACTACCAAGCTTGCAAACTTTGTGTTTTGTCTGTCTGTTTGTTTTGTTTTGTTAGAAATGTAATACAATTGTCTGGTTGCCCCTGACACGATGAATAAAGGCTTACGTTGTTTTGTCAATTTTATGTCATGCTGTTTACTCTGTATGTTTTGATGATGTTACTTGGAAACTGTCCTGAGTTCCCCTCGGGGAGATAGAGCAGTATATTTATTATTGTTGTTGTTGTTGTTGTTGTTGTTGTTTTGGCCCTTTACAATCCAGAAAAGGTGGTGGGGGGTATAAAATTATTTCTTGGTGCTCTAGGCAAGCTTCAGGAGTCCTGGATGATTTCGGGGGGGGGGGGGGGATTTTGTGTTGTGAGGGGTGGGGTGCTATTTGCCAACCTTCCACAATCCTTGGTTTATGCATTGCATGTGTGTATGAGAGAGAAAGAACTTTCAGTTTTCAGTCTGCATTTTGTCAAGCTTGTGGGATGTTTGCCGATTGCTCCATCTCTTTGTACACTTCTAAAGAGATGATTGCACAAAGCACTGATTAGAAGAGAACTGGAAAAGAGGACAAAGTATTCTTTATGTGTTTTGACAGAGCTGATGTTTCCTTCTGAAATTCCCATGTTGCTTAAACCCCTCCCCATATGCTGATTAAACATTAAGCTCTTGCAAAAAGGGCTTGGTTCTGTAACAGACTTCTACAATAAATACTGGGGTTGCACTTGCCTCTGGTGCCTGGCCCTCCAGTTCACGATGGAGGGGTCCGTTTTCTACCTGGTGACTGCCCTCCTGGTCCTTTTCCCAACTTCTTCTTACAGCCAACTGTAAGTAATGATCAAATTAAGCATAAAATAAAGTAATGTCACTGCTCAAGACAGCCTTCTCCTCTGTTGCTCTTTCTCTAAGGTGGTATATTGTGGAGATCTGTCAAGTTTAGTACTTGCCCTCTTCTAGAGGTAGTTTGGGGCAGTTTCAAATGTAATAGGCTAAAATCCAAATCACACCCCTTCACCCAGTGCTACTGCATTATGGTGATTAAAATATATTTAAAAGCTGAAATAATTTGAATATAAAATCTATAGTTTGTTTACACTATTTGTCACTTGAAGTAGGTCATTTAACTGCTGAATGATGGGGCTCTGAATTTCTGATAGTGCATCTAGACCAGTGTTTCTCAACCTTACAAATGCTGCAACTCCTTAATACAGTTCCTCGTGTCATGGTGAACCTCAACCATAAAATTATTTTTGTTGCTACTTCATAACTGTAATTTTACAACTCTTATGAATCGTAATGTAAATATCTGATGTGCAGGATGGATTTTCATTCACTGGACCAAATTTGGCACAAATACCCGATACGCCCAAATCTAATACTGATGGGAACTGATTTTGTCATTTGGGAGTTGTAGTTCACCAACAACTAAAGAGCATTTTTAAGATAATTTTTATTAAGGTTGTATACAGTTACATGGAAAGAGGGGGAAAAGTAAGAATAATAGTAATATATAACAATCAAAGTAATAATAATATATAACAATCAAAGAGCATTCTGAACTCCACCAATGATGGAATCGAACCAAACCTGGCACACAGAACTCCCATGACCAACAGAAAATACTGGAAGGATTTTGTGCACACTGACCTTGAGTTTTGGTGTTGTAGTTCACTTACATCCAGAGAGCACTGTGAACTCAGACAATGATGGATCTGGACCAAACTTGGCACAAATACTCAATATGCCCAAATGTGAACACTGGTGGAGTTTGGGGGAAATAGACATTGACATTTGGGAATTGTAGTTGCTGGGATTTATAGTTCACCTACAATCAAAGAGCATTCTGAACCCCACCAACTATAGAATTGGGCCAAACATACCACACAGAACCCCCATGAACAACAGAAAATACTGTATTTTCTGATGGTCTTTGGTGACCCCTCTAACACCCCCCTCATGACCTCCCCAGGGGTCCTGACCCCCAGGTTGAGAAACACTGATCTACACTGTCAAATGAATGTTGTTTGACACCACTTTAACTGCCATGGTTTAATGCTATGCAATCATGGGAATTGTAGTTTTCAAGGCCTTTACCTTATCCTCCAAAATCATTGCTGTCTCACCAAACTAAAAATCCCAGGATTCCACAGCATTAAGCCATGGCAGCTAAAGTGTCAAATAGATGTACTCTGACAGAGAGAATGCAATTTTTGCAAAACAAAAGTTGTAACAACAAAAGCATGTAGAAACCGTGAAAAAATATATGAACTCATCCATATTTGACTATAGCTCTTGCTCCAGCTAACCTTTTATCCTTCTGAGATTGGCCACTCTTTAGATGGATTTTAGGAAAGACACTGAAGGGTGCATTAGTCCATGATGTTGGTCCCCAGCATGTGATTGCCTTTTAAAATGGGGTTCCTGGACACCTAATGATGTTGTCATCATGAAAACTGGCATATTAATTTTGGTATGTGTGCAAGTGCAGTCCATTATTGTGATTTTCCCATATGTGTATGTGCAGCCAAATGTTTGCATAAGTGATCTAACACACAGTTATGTGTTTTAACAGTAATCATTAAGGACTACCAATGAATGTCAACTCACACGGGATAAGTGGAAATGAAATGCCAGGGAATGTTTTGACTGCCCCTGCATCCTATTTAGGAATAACTGGGTCCTATTTCTGCAGAATTCAAATGGATGGTTACTTATTTCAGGGTCTTTTTACAAGTGGAACAAGTTGTTTACAGGATAAGTCAAATATACCTTTTCCAAAAATGAACGTTACCATTAAGGGAGTGAAAGTAAAACTGAACTGTAATCCAAGGACTGATTTAGAGGAAGTTTTAGAGAGAACTGAAAATGAATCCAAATTTAAAATCTTCTTGTTGTGTGCTACCAAAATAACTTTGGCTGATGTAAAGGAATACAAGAGAGAGAATCAAGCAAAGAATAGCACAGGGCTGTCTAGTTGCTATTGTTAATTCTATAGCCAAAGGGTGGTCCTATGTCAAAGTTGAGTCAGATGAACTTCAATCCAGTATTGTGTGGATAGGTAATACGTCTGACTTGGCCATGGTGGTCCACACTCTGGTTACATCCCGAATAGTTACTGCAACGCACTCTATGTGGCGTTGCCTTTGAAGACTGTTCGGAGACTTCAACTAGTCCAACAGGCAGCAGCCAGATTACTCACCGGAGCGCCATACAGGGAGCATACCACCCTCCTGCTGCGTCAGCTCCACTGGTTGCTGGTCCACCCCTTAGCACAATTCAAAGTGTGGTCTTGGCCTATAAAACCCTATACGGCTCTGGCCCAGCTTATTTATCCGAACGTATCTGTCTCTACGTTCCACCTCGTAATTTAAGATATACTGGGGAGGCCCTGCTCTCGGTCCCACCAGCGTCTCAAACGCATCTGGTGGGGACGAGGGGCAGGGCCTTCTCAGTGGTGACTCCCCACTTGTGGAATTCGCTCCCCAGTGAGATTACATCGGCGTCCTCCCGCCTTACTTTTAGGAAAAACTAAAAACGTGGTTTTGGAGCCAGGCCTTTGGCTAGTGGGCACAACAGCACTTTAGGATCTGAACTCGGACAATAGGATTGTTCGAAAATTGGAAATGGCTTTATGACCTGTGATTAAGTTATCTGTTCTATGTGGTTATGTAATTTTAATTAATATCACTGTTTAATTGTTATGTAAGGGATTTTATATTGTTGTTTTATATTGTTGTTATTGATACTGTTGGCATTGAATTGTTGCCTGTGTTAGCCGCCCGGAGTCCCCCCTCGGGGGTGAGAAGGGCGGGGTAGAAATGGTGTAAATAAATAAATAAATAAATAAATAAATACGTTCTTAGAATTTACTCAGAAATGATTCAGGAGGGTGACCTGAAACTTGACAGTGCAAAAGAGATAGGCTTGAGGATGATCTATATTACCAGGGAGAAAAAGAATGGCCAAACTGGAAAGTGCAGACAGATCCCACACATTTCATAGATTTATAGAAGTAGGTGTTGCTTGCAATGTAACAAGAACTATCTGCTCAAATTCCTCTTCTACACAACTATTAAAGGAATGGGTGCTGGAAACAATACATTTCACTGATTAGGTCTAATATCTCATAATACTTCAATCTTGTATTAGTGTAACAGTCTTTATTTTTATTTTAAATGCATTTTTCCAGTCAATATTAGATTTTGAAGCTTACAAAGTTATTTGCGTAGGAAAATCTGTTGCCTGCACACTGAGCATTATCAGAGAGTGATAAGGAGGAAATTGATAGAATGGGAGCCCATGAGTTATCAGGGAGAAAATGCATGGAAGGAACACATGTCAAAATATGTATTTGAGAAGAGTGTGGTTTCTGACCAGATTAAAACAAAACAAAAACTCTTATTCTGCCAGTTGGCACCAAATTCTAGTACAGGCAGTCCCCAAGTTTTGAATAACATAGGTTCTGTTGGCTTGTTCTTAAGCTGAATTTGTATGTAAGTCAGAACAGTACATTTTAGGGACTTCTTCACACGGGGCTGTTTTGCCGCTTTTAATTGCAGCAAGGATAATAACAATAATAACACTTTATTTGTACCCTGCTACCATCTCCCCAAGGGACTCGGTGCAGCTTACATGAGGCCGATCCCGAATACAACAATACAAGCAAAACAACAACAGTACAAGCAATTAAAATAAAAACATAGACAATAAAATATACAACATTATCAACAAGGCAACACGCAATTAAAAACAGTGGGAAGGCCAAATGTAAAGTTAAAATGGAAATAAAGCTGGGGTTTGGACGAAAAGGTGATAGTGGCGTTTGTGGAAGGGCATACGAGCAGATCTAAAAAATGTGAAGTGCTTTGGAGGACAAAGTGCTATGGGATCATTATTCCGGGAAGGCACACTGGAACAACCACGTCTTCAAGCTCCTCCTAAAGACTGCCAAGGTTGGGGCCTGTCTGATGTCTTTAGGGAGTGAGTTCCAGAGTCGAGGGGCCACCACCGAAAAGGTCCTCTCTCTCGTCCCCACCAACCGCGCCTGCGATGCTGGTGGGATTGAGAGCAGGGCCTCCCCGGATGATCGAAGGGATCGTGTGGGTTTGTATACAGAGATGCGGTCATGAAGGTAGGCGGGTCCCAAACCATTCAGGGCTTTGTAGGTAAGAACCTGCACCTTGAATTGGGTCCGGTAAATGAATGGCAGCCAGTGGAGCTCCTTAAACAGGAGGGTTGACCGCTCCCTGTAAGGCGCCGCAGTTAGCAACCTGGCCGCCGCCCGTTGGATCATCTGAAATTTCTGGGCCGTTTTCAAGGGCAGCCCCACGTAGAGTGCATTGCAGTAATCCAGTCTAGAGGATGGGGCCTGCCTTCACTTTTGCCAGTGATTGTTGTGTGAAGAGGTCACAAACATAACTACAGCTATATATATAAGTTTTGGATAGCACAGGGAAGAGCTAACACCACTGTGATGTTTGTTTTGCTGTCTGTGCCCCTGTTCAGAAGATTTCACTTCACTTTCGGTCCTCATGAGAATTGGATTTTGAAAACTCAGAGTTGTTTGTAAGTTATATGTTTGTAACTTGGGGACTGGATGTGCAGCATTCAGCTGGGGAGTTAGAAGGCCAGTGTTTTGATTGTAGGTGTGTGAACCACAGAAAGATCAAAAGCTGAAGCAGAAATGCGTAATTGTGATCTATATTATTTGCTGATCATTGTGAATCAATTTTAACTTGGTTATCACAAATTTAGGGCCTTTGATTGAGGTTTAGAAAATCCTCGGGGAGATTGTGAAAGCAACACTTCACTTCCTTTCTTTATTTTT